AATTAGTTTGAATGCATTATTAGTTATTGATTTTATGTAATTTTATTTTTCAGTATTGTATGGTTTGACATGGTCAGTCAAATAATATTTATTGTTAAATTAAGGATTTAATGTTATTTTTGAATTTCAGATACACTTTAAATCTTTTCTGTTCCAGTTACTAAAGCTATTCTTTGTTGGAAGTTGGTCCACAAAGTTGGTCCATATTTCTTTCTTTTTTTATTCTCTTATACCTTAATAAGGTTACAGTGTTATGCAAAGGTGTACTTATAACAATTTTATAGACAAATGATACTATTTATAGTCGTGCGGGGGGGGGGGCGAGATGTTTTCCTCTTCTTTGGGGGGGCATGACAGAAAATAATTGAGAACCACTGGTATAACCAAAGCGGCAAGGTGCCGCTTGCTACTGTTATTGCCAGTTGCCATTCTATTCGACTAAAGCACCAGTCAAACGTCTTCATGTCTTTGTGTCGTTATTAGACAAACAGATGATGGAAGTACAACAGAGCATGAAAGCAACGCATTCTAGCCGTATGTAATCAACTCTTCTCATGCGTAGCGAGCACTTGCTCCGGAGCAAATCTTTAACCCTGTAGCGTTCACACGTACCATTTTACATCGGTGCTGCCCTGCAAACGAGCATTTGCTCCGGAGCAAATTTTTAAACCACCTCCCTGAGCAGGGTTAAATTTGCTCCGGTTTAAGCTGTTTTCAGGGGCTACACCAGTGTAACTTTGCACGTGTGAACGCTCTATCTGTCTCTCTTTCTCTCTGTGATGACAATTAGTTTTACACCAATGAAGTATGGGCAATTTTTGCAGAATATAATGTGCATATTTTTGTAATGTGGGGAGAAGTGTGGAGAAAACCCATGCAAGAAGGAGAGAACACTCAACCTTTGAGTGGGAAGGCCTCAATTTCAATTCAGAACTTCAGAACTGTGAGGCAGATGTGGTCGCTACTTCTTTTCCATGCTGCCCAGTTATTTGGCCGTGAATGAAAAATTGCAACAAAGAAGACGATAGGCGGTGGTAATAAGAATCGCGGTGCTGTCACTGAGAGAGGAAAGCGGATGAGAAAGCGATTTTTCAGCTTGCTGAAAGGAACGGTCTGGGAAGGATGGCCCATTTTTCACCCAAAAACGCAAACTTCTCACGCAAGAACATGATTACAAATTAGTCAGTGGTTAAGGCACTCAAATAATACTGATTAACATATTCTCTTCAAGAATAAATCCATTTGTGGCATTTTCTACATGATTAGTAGGTGTTTCTGTTATCAGGGCTTCACAACGGCCATTAAGAAGCAGCATTTCCACAATGCTTTGCTGCAGTTCAAATCAACACTTGTGACTGCTAGTGATAACGTACATGCGCTGTTTTGTAAAAGCAGGGCGTAGCATAATTACAGGGGTGTTATTTCTAGTTATGTATTAAGTTTTTGCTACTTTTAGTGACAAATTACCGTAACTTCTGCTGAACACCCTAACACAGTCAGTCACTCAGTGCGTGCGTACACACTTTTATATAAACAGATAATGGACACCAATGTTCTCTTAAATTTTCCATCCGTCGGAGCATTCGCACAAACTCTCTGAGCATTCCTTGGACCACAGTGAGCAACATTAGACATGGCGGCCGCATCATTATCACACCTGTCCAAAACCTGTGATCAGTACGTGATGTAGTGTGTTATGAAATAAAATCTAATTCCCTTTATATGAAAATAGGACATATCATTGATTGGAGATTTATGACATGAATCAAAGTTTAAATCAAACTTTTATTTTAGCGCACAGGTTATTTGAAGAATAATTAATATACAGTCTGTATAAATTTCGTCACATATTGTCCACGCATAAATAACGGAAAACACGTCATAATAATACAACACAAAAATTCCTAATCACCTGACCTTTGAAACGCACGAAAGAGCCTCATTCAAGGGGCTCCAGCTGTCACCGTGTGCGCTGAGAAAGTGAGAGAAGTGCGCATTTGCTCACGCACGCACAGTTTAGAAGGAACATTGATGGACAGACACTTCAAAAACTCGGGATGTATTGTTACTACATACAGTCTTATTGTTTATTGGAGGAGAGAGTGTTAATGTGATCCATCACACTCAATACCAATGATCTGAACACGATGCTCATCGTTTTCGTTTGTTTGTTTGTTTCCTCTCTCGTCGGCGGTGTCTGCGTGTTAAGAAACAGTATTTTATATCCTCATTTCTGTAACGCCGTAATATGTTCTTTATGATAGAAATGTGTCATTGGGCAGTGATGTGTTCCTCGAGCCGGTCCTTGGCCTCGAGGACCGGCTCGAGGACGGTCCCTGGTCCTTGTCCTTGGGAGTCAAGTCCTTGGCCTTGGCCTTGGCCTGGGGTTGCCGGTCATCGGACACAATGAGGGATTAGAGCCTCGAATCCCTTGTCCACAGGTATAAAGTGGGTCCGAGGACCGCAAAAATCACGAAGGAATCAAATAAATTCCATCCAGGGAAACCCATATTGATGGATTAAGCTGGC